GAACAAACCAATGGCTGGATTTGTTCGGGAAGAATGGGATCCAAGCAGACTCAAACGTTGAGTCCGATTGGATCAAAAGTATGGGCTCCTGCCTGAACTCAGAAATGTAGTTTAGGCAAGATGCATGCAACGACATTGGTCGATAGAAAGAAAAGCAGGAAACTATATTTCCAACATAAGGCGGCTTCATCGTTGTCAAGACAGACAGTAACGTTGGAAGCATTTTTTGCCTTAGCAAGCGCAATGGCCGCTTTCAGACCCTCGGTGGCTCCAATTACTTCTGCATCGTACACTTTGGCAGTGCGTCCTAAGGGAATTTTTCAATATATAATTTTAGTATTTGATCCGCGGTAGATACAAAAACCTGTCCCCGCGTTTTTATGTTCATCCATGGATCCATCCGAATACATCGTAAGGTCCAGTATTTTTGTATATTCTGAAGCAAATTATCCCTGATTTTCTTCTGTCCCATTTCGCGGCTAACAGCTTCAATTTATACCGTTACAACGACCCGGTCCAGTTTATGCCATGGTGGTACCATTGAGAGAGAGTTCTAGAAGCTGCCGACGTCTAATCTACAGAAATTTAGAAGAGTTCCATATTATCTGTAATAGGAGTTTCGAGTCTGCTACAGAAACCCGCACTGTTAGACGGTCGTGAATTCGTCCCAGCCTAGCTCACGCAGAAGCACCGGAATAGGAGTAATTTTATCGACTGATAAGACTGCTCGGACCGCAAGATTCATTGTTCCTCTTACTTGATTAGTTTTCGATACATAAGATTTTTGCCTAAATCACGTTTGGACACTGTAAAAAAGCATTATAAATCCTGAAAATTGCACTGCTTGCCCAAGCAGGGCTGGCTCGACTCTTTTGACCGTGTTGTTGATTCGTTTTGTAAGGTCGGTTAAGACCCGGCATCGCTGGTATGCTCTACTCACATGTTCTTTGAATCTAACTTTCCTGTCAGAAATAACTCCAAGCCACCTCTTGTATTCGTTCGGTACAATCATATTTTCTTCTAACAGAAAAAAGGGCCCTGTGCGATTCCTTTCTTGGTGGAAATATTGTACCTCGGTTTTTTACGTTTCCCAATCACACCAATTTTAACATCCTCATTGCAACATCATTCTCAGGCTTGTCTATAATCTCTAACCACACTGTTCAAGATTTCAAGCCGATTCCATCATCGAAATATCATCCGCATATCCAGATCGTCTCCTGAATATCCGTAGAATGGGACCAACATAAAGCAAAATAAAAGTTGGGCAGCCCGTGTAGGAGCCGAAATTGGTCTGAGATTGTCTGATCAATTCGAATTCTTGCTATTCAATCCTGCAGAAATGAATTGACTCAACTAATGATGTTTTCTGACTAGCCTTGGGATCTCAATCGGTTTAATAGCCGTTTACGTAGTTCTTCATCAAACGTCCCCTTAACATCAACGGTAACCATACCAGTAACCTTGCCCCAGGTGCTTCTTTCACATCACAAAGTGTCAGAAATGAAGACAAATATTGTTTTAGATGTATGGACCCTTCGTTTCCTATAGGTTCCCGACGCAGTCTTACGCATAGTGAAAGGGTTGTAAATAATAATAATAATTATAGGGTAGCGCTTCTGAGTGCCTAATAGACACATGAACGGCTGTACGGCGTGGGCACAAGTAGTTTGTTGGGAGTATCCTATGCGTATATGGCGCGACAATCGTTAATGCTATGGCTTAGGCTCTATTTCGCTTCCACTTGCACTCATTGCGCATATCTCTCAATATTTCAGCAGTAATTTCAACATGACACCTTTTTAGTCAATTTCTTCTTTCGTTTCAGAAATACTGCGCCAATTTCATTGCACGATATTTCTAACACAAAGTAGTGTGGTCGTTAGACCTGTTGCACAGCGCCCGTAAATTACAATACATCGACCCCTAAATAAATTGTCGCACTTAAGTGCTCAGTGGGCAAATCGCTTTAGGAAAAGGCGCCCATGGTCTTTTCTCGGGTAACTTAGAAGAACTATCGAGCGATCCACATTTCTTATCTTTGGTAAAATAACTATTCCAGTCTCTTTGAAGACTTTTGGGTGTACTTCAACTAGAGTATATTCGTTGAGCAAGCCCGTGGTACGTTGGTCTATAGTTAGTCATGTTATTTAGAGAACCGGGGCTACTATTTCATCTTCTCCAAGTGAGAATGAAGTAACCTGGCAGGTAGCTTGTTAGGAATTCTCGGTGAGTGGATGCCAAGGTATAGCTCTCCTGGAAACAGACGGTGCTTCTTAACACACATCTGAGGCTTCTATGTGTCGAGAGAAAAGCTTTTTGTTTTGGGCAGTACATGTTAGCGACTCCGTCATCTCCCTTGAATGGTGGGATTTGAGAGGATAGAGCAGAGTTGTACCAATTTACTATTATTTACACATCCTTTAGGGACTCCAAATTCTCAACCTGAGCCTCTCAGAATGCTTTTTTGGTCCGTCTAACAGCGCTCCGAAGTTCTCACTTCATGAAATCTGACCTACATGAAAGTCTCGCCGCATGATATCTGCGTGCAGCCGTTCTACACTCCTTGTTACACCAGGTAGTTCCCCAATTTTTGTCCTTGCTGTGGGGATAGGACGCTAGTAGGGCCGCCTGCAAAGTTTGAATGGTATTTATAGCTTCAGTTTGTATATCCTATATGGTTTCCAACGTAGGGGATCCTTCCCATCACCTAATAGAGCCTTAAAGCTGGTTTCGCTAAGAGAGCTGTAGCATAGCCGCCTTTTTCTGCTTTCTATTAGGTCTCCAAGGAGCATTGTGGTTATGAAGATGGTCTCGTGATCAGATATTGTGTTTAATTCAGACGAGAGTTGGAATTTCGCTTCCTCGATGGAATAGAAAGCGAGGCCCAGAGTACCTCCCATGTTGAAAATTGAATCATCCTCCGGGTTAAAGAGGTAGAGATTCTTATCTCCAGGCCAATCTATCGGTACCATTGCCTATGGAGAATTATAAATGACATGCGGGTTATAAGTTAGATATATTAGATTAAAATCGCTGCCCATGAGGTGATGCAGGTCTTTAGTGTTTATGAGTACATTCAGACAGTCTCCAGTAACTGCTTAACTAGCCAGGGCGTTGTTGACACTTCATACACTTATTTTGCATCAATTTCGTTGTCCTGTGCAAATTATAGTGCATAACTATGCACGTTTGCGCCTCTTCTCAAGCTCGCTTGCATAATGCGAATAAATCGTAGTTTAGCCGATTCCTACCTCATCAGTATACTTAGCTGGAATGAGTGAGAGATTCGGCTGAGCTCTGAGGGTCGAGATTCGAGGAATTATGGATGAATTGAAGAGATTAAGCGAGCTCTTTCCGTCCTGCTGCGAGAATGTGATGGGTTCTGACCCCTAGTGAGCGAATGAAAATTGGCAGGGCAAGAATCGAAAAAGGATTTGTGATGAACACTACAATTCAGGAATTGTACTGGACGGTCAGACTGGAACTCGTGCGAGTCCTTCCCGCATGACTCGAATTCGTGTTGGCGTGCACAAATTCAAAGCACTTTTTGCAGGTAGTCAGCTCTCTTCTCTGACGGGCATGCTGGACGTCTGTTGTTTGTTCGAAGAGCCACATTATAGGTGGTAATCTTTGAGCCTTAGCCTCTATTGGAAATGGAGATACAGAGTGTTGTGGACGTACGGGTCCTCCATTTCGTTTAGTTTCCCGATATGATCTTGTGTGTATTTAAGAGGTTGGAATGGGTAGTATAATAGCGCTTCAGGCTACTTATTGGGTACATGAACGGCTTCATGACGTGGGCACAAGAAGGTTATTGGGGGTCTTCTATGCCTAGATGGCGCCACACTCGTTTATGCCGTGGCCTTGGTTCTGTGTCGCTTACAATTGTACTTTTTTTTTAAATAATTTAATGTGTATGCAGCTATAAAGCTATGACAAATGACCGGTGCTATGTATGCATATTAGATGGCTCTTTTGACTTAAGACACACTCATACTCTGGATTTCATTCGCAAGTACTACTACAAGGTATGTTCGCTTACACAAACAGTCGAACCTCCGTAAGTACCCACCAAAGGGAAATCCAAAACCTTTGATTGTCCAAGCATGCCTCCGTCATCCATGTATACCAGTGCCGCGAGAAATGTGGTTGTATTTTGCCGGATTTGAACCAGCGATCTACTGTCTCGAGTGAGATATGTGTCCAAGCTATCCAGACTCTACTTGGCAGACCGGCCAAGCCGATGTACTACCGCACCATCCAAACACGGCGATCTTTATAGTGTCACCTGCACTCTCGCAGCCGGAACCTTGGCACGCACAAAGCTCGATTTGTAAAAACACCTTGCCAAAATTCGAAATTTCACGCCCTTTGAGAATATATACATCCTCTGCATCATCTTGTAAACTTGTCCTTATCCCTCTCACGTCTATCCCAAAGAACAGTCTCCCAGATTTGTGCGCCACGCTTTGTTTCCTCCGTCGGGTGTAAATATCGGCGTAGGCGTGTATTTGGTGACCGGCTGAGGCCAGAGAAAGTCGATAAGAGCTGTGATCATTGGAATGAGGATGTACTAGATCGTACTTGTAGTCTTGATGAGGCTTAGGTATTAGTCGGACTCTTTGGGAGTGAAAATTTCACATGGTGGAGTTTTTTGAATCATTGCTTCGTGGGCAAACTTGTTCGATATTGCGAAATTTGACTAAACTTGGCTCTGGGAGAATATTCCACTCTCAGGTTCACAGAGGGCACCGCGTACAAGTGTTCAGTCTTGCCCTCCTACACTTGTACCTGTAGCGCACACTTTCCACACTCTTAGCTGTAATCCGAACTTTACACTCTTTTAGTCAACTTCTACTTTTGTTCCATGAATATTGCGTCCGTTTCATTGCGCAATATTTCCAAGAGCCTTTAGGACGTTGCGTCCATGCGACATGACGGATGGACATTGCTGGTTCTATTTCGATAGGCCGGTCAATAAGGTCAACTACTCCATCCTAAGTAGTAATTATTTGGTATAGGCCCAGTTGCAAACGTGATCCACGTTTGTAATCTTTCCCCAGTAGCTTTTCCAAACCGTATCGCCATGGCATCTTTGTGCTGGAGGATACTTTTAGCTTTGGCCGGGCTAAGTGCTAGGACGACGATTCCAGATGGAACTTTCCGTGCATCTACGACTGTCAGAAATTGTCAAGGGTTTCTAGGAAGAAATATCTCGAGGAAGAAGTGTACGATTTCGGACAAGCCTTCATTGATAGTTGTGTAGGATATCTAACTCTCTTCTCCATGTGAATTAATGATAAGCAATATTCCGTTTGCTTACTTAAGCAGTTCAAGTAAGTCTATCCTTAAATTTAGATTCCCAAGGCTTTAGTGATCCCGAACTCCCTGTGACCTGGCAACAATCAGCCACTCACTTATCCCAAGGTAGCATTTCCTAGCCACTCCATTTCAGATACTACTGAACCTCATGTCGCCTAGACAAGCTTAATCATATGCAATTGAATGAATTTAACTGATCCTGATGATCTTACATAGAAATGTAAAACTTCATACTTACTAAGTCTAGATTTCCAACGATTAATGTTGGATCGGAAACGAGCCGTTGGACTTGTTGCCAGAGTAGAAATGGTTCGATATTACGTGGCTCTTGTTTACTGTCCAGTCAGATCATTATCTGTTTATCCTCCTTGATTAGATACTGTGGGAATGTCTGTTGTAAAGGTAAGAGCTTACGGAGGTTAATTGGCAGAAGGTTTACGGGTAATTATCGATGAATCAATGTGAACTGCTGATATATTTGATATTCAGAACTATGAGGAGTTAGAAGGAGCTAGAAGGTAGAAAGCGCTAATTATATACACATCTGGGGTAGCTAGACTCTCGCCTTATTTACCCAAAACAATACCACGGAACATTCTAGTCTCCTGCATCTGGTAGTACAATCTAGAAACACTTTCTATACAGTGCTCCATTGTTCCTCTACTCATCATGGAGCCACCTGGTAAGTTCTTCCTTCACCCTCAGTGATCATTACCCCTGTGCATCGTAATCCTAGCCGTCACCAGCACAACAATGTCGGGCTTCTATGGAGTATGCGGAGATCCATATTTGCGCCATTCGAGTTCCCGGCTGCCGTCTCAGTGACCCAGATGCTGCTTTTTTGATCACGATCAGTGACTCTACTCACTAGATTAGTGTTGGAAAATCGGTATATGTTCGATGAGTAAGGCAGCTCAAAAAATATGGGCGCGATTTATGAATAAAATAATAACGATCTGAATCAAGAGAACATATAATATACTGTTGAGAAATAAAATAAAATTACTTAATTTTTATTATAGTTTTTCTGTCTTGTTGATTCCTGGGTGTTAAAGTTATGAGCTATGTGCAAGTTATACTGCGGAGAGATGAGTGTATGATTTTATATTTAGTAGGTGACAGTGAATAGACTCATGCATACTATGCTGTGGGTATATGAACAAAATGTATAACACCAAACCTCTATCCATTAATGTTAGTATATCTATGAAACTATATACATACTTGCCTAGCCAGTGTGTGTGTGTTGTTTATTGTACTACTTGAGTCTGACTTTCTAGCACATTAGGCTCCTCTCTGGCCCAGCCACACCTTGTAAAGTGCTCCTTGCGTCTAATGTTTCTTGATAGATCATTGATATATTACCCGTGATGAATGATCATTCACCTTAGTATTTACCCGTGGAATTTGACCACATTTTCCGCTGAACCTTCTACCTATAAAAATAAAAATGATAACAATAAAACCTGCAGCTTCATTCAGGCGAGACCTAGACACCAGGACCACATGAGGTGCACCTATTCATCTATATCTCCCTTCTTTGTAACATTCGAGGCCGACTTGATCCAATCAACAATCGCCGTATCGGGTGCTGGGTTCGCTCCTGAAACTCATCGGATGGCTTTTCCTCCATGACCAAAGGTTGGTGATGAGAAGGGCTTCGACTCTACCATCTAATCTGATTGTGGTTAGCTTCATGATAATAGTGATAGGAGAATATGCTTAAGGATGAAGACGATACAGACGGCGAAAGCGATTGGGAATCCTCATCAAAGTGAGGACTTTTTTACTCAAACTTGGCTCTGTAGACTGTACAGTGAGAGCTGGAGGTTCGTAGGGGACACCACTGACAGGTGTTGAGAATAGTCCCCCTCACCTAACCAGTACACTGGTGATATATGCTGTGACCTTGAGCAACACACTGTGCCCTAGCTTAAACTTCTTCGTCGTCTCATATCACAATACTAGGCAGCTTATATACATGTATCCTCAGTAATACTAATCCAATTAAGTACCATCTATCAATCCTCGTTCCATATTCTAACAATGACAATGAATCATACGATAGTATACAACATGAGTATGTGAATAGGTTCAATAGATCAAACTGTATCTCAAGGATATCAAACCATACCATGTATCAGTCAGTCTCACGCATCAAACATGCTCAATGAAGGGGATTTCAATAACCTTGGTCGTTAGTCATGTATGAGAATCCTAATTATTAAAATGAGGAAACTTAATATACCCAGAATCTGAATTTCCAACAGTTAGCTATACTACTCTTACATATTTTCTCTCCTCGGATCGCCCGGGACACTCTTTCTTATCGGAGTAGAAAATTCAGCTGTGGCACCAGAGCAAAAATCCTTTAGCTCTTCTAGGTTAGGACCAGCTATGTTCAAAAGACCTCTGGCCATTTACATGAGATCTGTCATCTTTGGCTTTCCTCTAGAGCCTAATAGTCTGTTTATAGGTTGTGTTTTTAATAGATTTGCTTCCTCTGCCGCGATACTTTGGTGCGGATACTCATCAGATTTTTTTTTGTCCGGTCATGAAATGCTATTAGGAAGCCCGCTCGTGGTTGAGGACGTGACGGAAGCCGAGTTGGTGTTAATTATGTCGATTTACTAAAGTGTATGAGGAAAGACAACTCAATCCACAAATAACAGGTATTTATAACAGTTCATCTACTGACTGATGACTTTCTCACAGGTATCATACTCGCTACCTAGCCACGTATTTGATTTTGATTTTTGATTGAATTTAACGTCGTGTCTGTCCACAGCTCGTGACTACTGTCACGTAATGGACGGCCCAGTCCCTACAGAACTACCCGACGCTCTAGCGCGCACTATAGCACCTAGAAATTACAAAAGAGTACGACCAGCTGTCCGCTAGGAAGGTTTTGTTTCGGATCCAGGAAAGCGTGCACTTCTATTGCGCGATCTCCATCTCGGCCGGTTCACCAGCCAAAACGACGTGGACACCGAACACCTCGAGCCAGGACGCGGAAACCTTCCATGGGTCTCAAGCGTCAGACGAAGAAGCCAAGTGGGTAATAACGGCCTGCCAGAATAAAGCCCCTGGAACAGACGCAATTTCTGTTCGTCTTCTTAGGACAGCCTGGCCGTCAATTGGACAAGCAGTGAGAGTACTCTTTGAGGGCTCACTTCGACTGAACCACTTCCCGAAGGCATTCAAGCTAGCCGAAGTAATTCTTCTCCCCAAGCCTGGCCGTAATCTCAGCACAGCTAAAGGATGGAGGCCCATCGCACTACTCTCCTCTCTGGGCAAAGGTCTCGAGAGACTAGTTGCAAGGCGCATGACATTTACCGCCATTTCGCACAAGGCTGTTCCGCAGCAGCTTTTTGTAGCACTCTCCGGTAGATCAGCTAATGACCTTGTCTCATGCGATATCCACGATATGGAACATGCAATGAAAAGGCAGAAGAAAGTAGTTCTTGTCACTCTGGACGTACAGGGTGCATTTGACGCTGTACTCCACGGACGACTGCTGCAAAGGATGAATAAAGTTGGGTGGCCGAAAGCAGCTATCACTTGGATAAAGTCTTTCCTGGACAAACGATCCGCCAGCGTCAGACACGAGGATGGAGTAACAGACCCAATTCACCTAGAATGCGGGCTGCCACAAGGTTCGCCTTTATCCCCAATTCTCTTCTTCCTTTACATGGCCGAAGTCGTGGGGGGCAGCAGTTGGAGATTTGGCTATGCAGATGATGTTGCTATCCTCGGCATAGGTTCGACTCCAAATGAAACCGCAGCAGCTGTCCAGAGAGAAGTCGATGCAGTCCTAGGGTGGGCTGCTGAAAATGCCGTCTCTTTCGACCCAGATAAGGCCGAAGCAGTCTATTTCCCCGGCCCTAGATCCAGGGGATACGACCTTCCAAAGATAAGGGTAGGTCCTCGCGATGTTCAGGCATCCGACAACATCCGATGACTCGGAGTTTACTTGGACCGTGGCCTGACCTTCGAAAGCCACGTCGCCAAGTGGACCAGTAAAGCAATGCGTCTAGTGCAACACTTCCGACGGCTCACTCAGTGCACCCAGGGACCAAGGCCCGACTTACTAACCACAGTGATCCGCACGGTAGTCCTGCCAATCGCGATGCACGCAGCGGAATCCTGGTACCCGGTGCCGACCAGGGAAACCTATCGGGGTGTCGCGCGAAATTCATATAAGAAACAGTGCAAAGTTATTGACCAAACTTCTGCCTTCGGAATCCGCGTGGCTCTACCAACCTGGCGCACCATGCCCATCGCAGCCCTGAGAAGGGAGACTGCCATCCCACCAGCACACATTCTTCTCGAGGAACGCAGGCTCAAGACTGCCGCATGAATCCGAAGACTGGATGAGTACCATCCGCTTCGACTTCGGGCAACGGAAATCACAGACAACGCTCGCCACCGACTCGGACTAAAGACATGCAACAAAAGCAGACTTGGTCTGGATAGAGTTCATGATTCGAGGGTCCAGAGGATGTATCGACTTCTACCAGAGGCTGAACTACCTCCACCGCTCCGACCTTCGGTCCCCCCTCAGCCAATTCCCTGCTGGACAAGCAAGAAAGAGGCTGCCAAGTTCATAAGAGAGTGGCTACCTACACTCTCACCCGACTGTCTCTGCGTTTAGAGTGATGGTTCTGGGGCTTCAACCGACAGAGTTTCGTGGGCCTTTGTGACTTTTATCAGCGGCACAGGCACGACAATCGAGCAAAGCGGCTCAGGCAAGATTACCAATGCGGAGGTCTACGACGCAGAGGTTCATGGAGCTTTGGCTGCTCTAGAAGCAATTACTGCCAGCAATCTAGATCGAGGATGCAGCGCCATCTATATCCTGCTCGAAAATTCTGCTGCTGTTAAGGCTCTACTGACGGGAACAACGGGCTCATCATCCTGGCGTATCCAAAAGTTTGTGAAACTGGCCGCGGGATCAGCCGCACCTGTAAAAATAGGATGGATCCCGGGCCACGAAGGGCTTGCAGTAAATGAAATCACCGATGAACTCGGTCGAAGAGAGCTTAACTCGCCGGACAGCTCTAGGACGACACATGATGTGATGACCCTCGCCTCTTCTGGACGGAAAGCTTGTGAACTGGCCAGGCAGATGTTGACAGACTGGTGGCACTCGAATCGCCCCAAACAGTAAGCTGACCTTGAACACGAGATGCAGCGCAAGAAACCGCCAGAACTAGCGCTATCGAGAGCGGTCTACGCCCGCTTAATCGCTGCTCGAACTGGACATGGAGACTTTGCGGCATATCATCGCCGCTTCAACCATAAAGACGCTACACTTAACTGCGAGTGTGGGAGGGAAAAATCAATTGGTCACCTTGTCCAGTGTCGAAAAGTACTGGCAACATGGCGGCTGAAAAGCGGAAAGCGTAGAGCGCCGGCTCTGGAAACAATGCTTGGATCAAGGGGATGGCAGCTGTTTAGGGACTACGTCCAGGAGAGTGGGATTTACGCGGAGACTAGTCGGGGGATGGCAGGGATACCTGTGACTCGGAGGTGATAGATCAAAGGCCTAGGTGGCTTGGCGTGGACAGAGAGATTGGAATCGAGGCTCAGGTGCGTGGTGGCTGAGGCGGAACGATGGAAGGGAAATTGTTTAATTTTTCTTTTGTAATGCGGGATTTCGCGTGAAAGTTTTTGTTTTGTTTTCAATTCTGGGCTGCTGAATTCGTCATGATTCAACACATAGATGCATTTTGGCATGGTTCCGGTGATTTAGGTGAGACGAGGCATTTGTACTGCACGGTAGTTAACCTGATCCGGCCCGACCTCACTCGTGCTCAAGCTCCAGTAGGAGTGCGACGGTAGCTACTTCACCTAGCACGTTAATGAACAAACAAACAAACAGCTGTCCGCCACTCTGCTTTCTAATTTAATTGTAGCAAATTTGCCTCTACCAGGAACTTCAATTTTTTTTACACGTTGTGTTAAATTACACCTGCAGAACAAGAAAAATAAGAATTAATCCTGCCATGTAACATTAACCCCACACCAGATCGTAAAATTTCACTTGGAAATATCTAATGGGCTCTTTGGATTTCGTCGAAGAACTTCGTAGGCCCGACCCATTTTCCTAAGGCGAGGGCACCTTCAGGCGTGCCAAAAGAGGCCTGGGGTTTTCTGCTTTCTTCGGTTCCTGTTTCGGACCCTCATAGCGGTTCCTCAGGGGAAATCAGAGGAGCAAACCTAGATGCCGTGCCCACTATTAGTGTAGGAGCTGGAGCGGAGGCGCATGAGTCTTTTGGAGGTGCACTCCTGATAAGGAGGTCACAAGGAGGTGGGGAAGGATGTAGGTCAAGCCATGCTTTGTGTCCCTCCTGTCAAATCAGCCGTATTCTCTCTTTGTCTGGCCGAATATAGACTCCGTTAGCTCGAAATGGACGGGCTGGACAGCCAGAAGAAGAAACCTCGTGTGGACCGGCGCAATTCAAGCATTTTATAGGTGTCATGCAGGGAACATCATGAGAGTCTGAGGCACAAATGCCACACCGGGCTCGACGTGTGCAGCTATTTATTTTGTGAAATCCGTGACAGCGGGGGCAGACTTGAAGGCGGGGGCGATTATCAGCTGGCCGGCTTCCAGCAGAGCGAGCAAAGAGGCGAATACTGAACGGGAGTTTCTCTGAAGCTGGCTTTGAGACTACCAAACAGAGGGTTTCTTCCCACTCAGGGGATTCCCGCGATCGTCGCGTCCATGAGATGGAGAAAATTGATTCAGTATCAATTTTGGCTCCTGCTAGCTCCTGCCGGATATCTGCGTCAGATAAGGCCTCCGGTGATCCGGAGGAATGATATCCGTATTTTAGAACTGGGCCTAGAAGCAAGTTTGTGCGTTTTTCTTGCCTTTCAATTGGTATAATTCCAGTCATGGGCTGCAGAGCTATAGCTACCTAGAGAAGATCTGTTGCTTGGTCGGGAGAGGGAGCAACCAAAGCAATACCAGATGGAACCGAATAAATGTACTTGATTAGCTCTGGACGGTCTAGAAGGCTTCTCAGCTTCGTGCGGACAAGGAGAGAATCTTGGTGGCGTAAGGGGTGATCAGGCGCTAGGCGACCCATGACCCTCGAGTCGGGCTTGGATTTTACAGCTAATGGACCTGTTTTTTTCTTAGTTTGGAGTGGCGGGGCTGGAATAGAGGAGCCTTTCCTCGCCATAGATGCGTATGACAGGGGTGAGTTGATTACTGGAGGGGGATTATTTATCTTACTTTCATTAGTTTGTGAGACAGTTGTTGACTGCTCGAAGACTGGCAAGCCGGCAATGGCCCGGGCGGTGCTGCGTGTCACGATAGCTTTTAGATCAGCTGCAGTATCTGGTGGAAGAGCGCGAAGGTGTTGAGCACCGGCGTTTTGCCATGCTAATAGCGATGTGGCAATGTCATTGGTCGTGGCCGCTGAAGGTTGGTGTATTACACGCGCTGATTTATGCATCGGAGGGGGGGTAGATTGGGTATCTACTTTCGGAGTATGAATAGGTTGACTTTTGGAAGAGGCATGTGTAGAACTGGAAAGGCCTGTACCAGAATTCTTTTTCAGGACTCTCGTGGCTTTTAAATTTGGGGCTCTAGTTGCAGGCTCGATCATATGCAACGGGTCGGGGGGTAGTCATTTTCTGACCCTGAGTCCATGGACTCATCTTCGGTGTCAATCAGAATTGACTCGGCTGGAGAATGGTGACTCTTGGAGGAAGCTGCAAGAATGGCTTCTTTGCGCGTAGATGGAAGTAAGCTCTTAAGTCTTACGCGTTTGGCAGCACGCGTAATAGTTTTCGAAAGTAATGCGATTGCGGCAGGCTTTTTCCGTCTACCAAGAAGCATGCTGTCTAATTGCGACGTGGGCGTGTTCAAAATAGCAGTATGAAATGCTCTCTTATGTGTTGTGAGTCGAGTTTCTGCATGACCTAACCAAGTATTGTTAGGCGTCACTTAGTTGTAACAGCGATTCAACCTCCTAACTAGTTTTAACGTTTTGAGAACCTCCATTTTTCCCTCCCCATGCGGCCTTAACGTAAAAAAATTTATTGTCACGCTGAAACATTCACCTAAGCTCATACAACGGTGAAACCGTAACAGAGGAGCAGTCCGCGTACACGTTCATATCGGCGTCGAGGACTCAGGTGTTGCTGCAATATTGGTTGTTGCTCCCAAAATCTTCGATACGGAAAGAGTTAGTATAGCAGTTGACAGTTATGTGCGCCCAGTATTACTGACATGTTTGTGGATGCGGTTCGTGGCATAAACAGTCTGGGACACACCGCGTTTTAATCGCGGGCGAGAGGCGCCATATCCCCTAGAAGAACAGACGCAAATCGTTAATTTGGGTTCCGGAAAAAAATTGTAACATTCTAATTTTCAATGTGTTCTGTGATCTGTGAGGATATATGCCAGATCATGGTGTTCTATAATTCCGGTCAGGCCTTTTGGCCGTGTGCTTATGCATCTATGTAATGCTTAATTTAGTATGGAAATTTCCAACCTGAATATCCTGCTAAAGTACACGCATAATTCCTAGCAATCTACAGGCCGCTTCTGACACCCCGTGAGTGACGGGTTCAGGTTTGTTGGTGAGGAGTTTTCCGTAGCCAGTGACTCTTGTGCCGTACTGAGTGACTCCTTACCCGAAAATTCCAGTGCATCTGAGTAGCTGATCCTGGTCTCATAGAAAGGCCGGGTATGTGTTGGAGTTGAATGGGAATTTAACAGTGTATATTCTAAATATTTTGTCACTCACGTCAATTGCTCATCCTGCGAACTTGCTATGTCATAGAACACTACCAACTGGTGGGTCAACTCGTTCCTAAATCCAATCAACTCTTACGTGGCTCGTGCTTCATTCTACCCCACCTTCGTGTTCTAAATAATAATATGTCAGTTCGGTCATACCCGCCATGTACCTTTCCAGTTAACATGTACGAGACATGAGAGATGCAATAACTTGGATCCCTAGCTACTCTCAACACCCCTTTTTTCGATCATCATAATCACCAACAATATCATGAAGCTTATACCCTTGGTGAACCAGGGTTGTCGGGTCATAGAGAAACAGAACAAAGGTCTTGGAAAATCATTTAATTAGAAGCTTTAAGCATCAGTCAAATGTAATTGTTTCCCTACTTTCACAATACCCAATATGGAATCTACTTCTGTCCTGATAATTGGCGCCGGACCTACTGGTCTTATGCTTGCCCTTGAGCTCGCTCGACTTCAGGTACCCTTTCGTCTTCTTGAGGCTCAGTCGCTTTCAAAACCAAATTTCCAGTCTCGCGCACTTAATCTTCACCCACGTACACTTGAACTACTTGCACGCCATGATATTTCTCAAGACCTCATAAATGCCGGCTCAAAAGTGTGCAATGTGCGTCTTTTTGCAGGTCGAAACTTGTGCACAGAGATCGGATTTCCAGGCCGACTGATGAACGATACAGCCTTTCCAAACGCCATTATTTCGAATCAATCGCTGGTTGAGAAGATATTGTTGAAAAAACTGGAAGAATATGGCGGTAAGATTGAACTGGGGTCAAAGTTAGAACGTGTTGAGATGAAAAAATTCGAGCAAGGTGTAACGGCCTGGGTCAGACATCTTTCAAGTGATGAAGATCAAACTAAGTGCCAAGATGGGATAGAAGAAGTTGTACAGTCTCGTTATATTGTTGGTTGTGACGGCGCACACAGCCTTGTGCGAAATCTTGCTGGTATTGAATTTACTGGGAATTCTCATCCGCAAGAGTTTATCCTCGCTGATGCTTATGTGGATTGGGAGCACAAAAGGTGCCCTCATCTTTTCATGGACTATGGTTTCACGGCATTCTTTCCACTAAATGACGATAATAAGTACCGAATCTTCTGTCAGCGCACTAAATCTCTAAGCAATACTACGTCTCTAAATGTAACGCTAGATGATTTTGGTCCTGAGATTGCAGCCCTCGTTCCCGGTTACACACGAATACATTCTCCCTCCTGGATCTCAGAATTCCACCTACACAGCCGCATTGCTAACACCTATCGTGTTCAGAGCATTTTCCTCGCGGGTGATGCCGCTCACATACACACGCCAGTTGGAGGCCAAGGAATGAACCTCGGGATGCAAGATTCCGTTAATTTAGCTTGGAAACTCGCGCGCGTACTGCACCGTACTGCCCCAGCCTCTATTCTCGACTCCTACGATGCTGAACGTCGTCCCGTAGCTAGCGCTATCATTCGCGGCACGGATCGTGTGTTTTCAGTATTTTCTACGACAAATCCATTGAAAGTATGGCTACGAAATTTCTTATTTCGGTGGATATTGCCCTGGCTTTGTATTTACAATGGTCTCGATAAGAACATGCGAAATATGTCACAGCTTGATATCCGCTACAGCAAGAGTCCTGCTGTTGGTACGGCGACAAAGTGGAAAGGAGTACTCAGAGGTGGAGATCGTGCACCAGAAGGATGGATTAAAAATTGCCAAGGGCAAACAGTGACATTGCAAAAACTGTGGAGAGCTCCAGTCGACCACCTTGTATTATTTTGTAGCTCTATTAATCCGCAAATAGCCGATGATATAGAGAAGGACTTTAGAGAATGGGCTAGTCCAAATACTAACGTGTTGAAAATATATTATTCCAGCCTGACCGACAAGGTTTCACGCGACGATTATATCGATCCTGATGGTAAAGCTCATTCCCTGTACCAGTTTTCTGAGCCAGGATACGTTCTTGTAAGACCAGACGGCCATATTTCATATATAGGAGCTTTGACTTCATTAGGTGAGCTAAGGATCTGGATGCAAAAGCAAGCCAATAGTTAAATACTGTAAATTCTTTCAAGAGGTTTTAAAGACTTTGCGCTTACAATAGTGATAAGTATTCGAAAATGGCGGGTTTTCTAATTAGGCCTATAAAATTCCGAGAAATGAAGAAGAATTTATAAAAGTATAAACTTTTCCAAAAAAATTGTGGTAATTCAGCTATAATTGGACCGTATTCTGAGTATTTTGGGTATGTATTGATCTATGTATCTTTGAAGATAGTCAATTGCGAATTATTTCGGTCATAGCAAGTTTAAACTACTGTAGTATCGGAAGAACTGGCCATAGTCAAGGAGAAGCCTAGTGTGCTAGATATTCATTCACTCAAGTATTACAATAAAATACCAGATATTTAAGTGTCGGAAAAAGAGACTAATAATGGGAACTTTTGATATTTCTAGTCCTTAGCGCATGCCTTTATCCAGCTGGATGCATATTGAATGGCATAGATATACTTTTAGAGATGTTTGAAGTAGATTCGATTGTCTACCCTCAAGATCTTCCCTCATTGGCTTACAAATGTTCGAACTCCTTATCACCCATCTCATCATTTCTTCTTGGTCTATCCGTCTTAATTAAGTTGAACTCATTGAGTAAGGAATAGTGACCCATGCCAATCTCATTAGAATTACAACCTCAAGAATCTCTAGTATGGAGTGCGCGCCTAAAAGAGAGGGGACTAATGTTTGCTGGAAATTTTCAAATTAGCTTTCAACACATGTGAATTTAGCGCGCGCAAGAAACTAGTGTTTTGATAACACAAATGCTACACCACGCGAAACGGAATTCACCCTAAAGTAGCACATTTTGGCAAGGATAGATTGAGGCTTGATAACCCCTCTGGCCTTACCTAGATCGTTGAGTTGAATACCACAAATAGATAAAATACTATGATCTCGCCATCGGAAATACATTAGGACTCTGGTGATTGAAAGAATCAGGACTAGGCTCGGGGAGATACACGGAGTCCAAGTCACGGAAGAGGAGCGTGAGCACGGGAATCGATGCCTGATGGCCTTTAGATCTAGCGTTCTTGAGATTGGAGCTCAAGGTTTGAGGAATCATTGTGGCTATTGTGGCTATTGTGAGCCGTTTTCTATGAAAGGACTAGGTCAATAGCGCTAGTGAAAGACGTTGAGGGCGAGGTATCGATCTTTTTGAGCTTTGCTCTATAATCACGTTTATCTACGCTCTGATGCATTCATCCTAACAAAGGTCTTGCTATTTCTTATCTTCATGATATATACACAGGGAAACTAAATTCTGCGTGACTGATATATCAATTTTTCGTTAAAGCAGTGTCATGTATGCATACACGAGGTCCCAATCCCGTAAATCTCAGTGTCACGTGCACAGTAGTAAGAGTAAACATGGCAATCTATCCAATGCCTGACTGAGTTAGCTAATACCTCTGATACGATCTAGGATTTAGGCGACCTATTAGTTAGACACCGTTGAAGGTTCGTCTATTGATATTCTGCCATCACGTGGGCAATAAGGTCTAGAAATCTAGATATCCATGATCTGGAGCTCTCTTGATCATTTTTATGTTTATCAGATATTTCCGATGGCCGATAATGCAACGACGGCAGCTCTTAGTAGTTGATTCGAAATAGCGGTTCGTGGCGGTACTTTTAATCCACAACCTTCCGTGCCTTCTCCTAATTCACCGAGTCCATTGGTGCTAGAATCTAGAGCTACCGTGATCTCCTCAAGTCCCAACCATTGGGCATCTTCTAATTCAGGATCATGTTCAAGATGAATAGTCTCTCCGTCAGGAAGTGCCTGTGCGATGGCACCGATCATTAAACTTGCGGGGTAAGGCCATGGCTGTGAGCTATGTATCATCACCTTTCCGATCTGAACACCCGACTCCTCCCAGACCTCTCGTCGTACCGCCTCTTCAATGCTTTCGCCGGGCTCAACAAAACCTGCTAATGTAGAATAGAGTTTCGGAGGCCAAAACCTCTGGCGACCGAGCAATATGCGATCATAGTTGTGTGAAATGACGGCCATGATTACGACAGGGTCCGTACGTGGAAAGGACAGGTTGGAGATACCGTTTCTTGTTCTGCATGGGGGGCGCGGCTGTGGGGATCGCTGGTCTTTTGCGGACTTTAAGGCGGTGGGTGAAGGAGCGCGGTCGGTCGAGGGACAAGTACGTTTCATCCCAGCATTTACAGCTAGCGTAGGTTTCCCACAAGCTGCGCAAAAGGGGTTTCGTGCATTCCAGTCGGTGAGGGCTCGTGCTTGTGCATACATTGCAGCTATTGAAATGGTCAGCATATTTCCTTAATCTAGGTTTGTATGAGGCTTAGGAAAGGTTTCTTCCACCTTCTGCGGCGCTCAGCATCACGTGAGTGCGTCCTTCGAGGAAACACAAGTTGCGCGATTTCATTTTATCAATAATGCCGAGTGCCTGTCTCTCAATCGTTCCCTTTGGTGTGATGTCGACGGAAAAGTAAGGCTTCCCTTTAAATAATCCATATTCAAAGCCTTCCTGTTTCCTTTCATCGATCCCCAAGAACAGCATTAGTGGTAGTGTAATAGAGGAATCATACTCTGCAATCAATTCCTCCTCGCTCTTTGAAAAAGGATTATCCCCCACCAAGTCTCTAATATCATCAAGGGTAGTGTAGGCAAGTGTAGAAGGATCTCGTGCCAGCGGTGCCAGATCGTTCAGTAGAAGGAACGATGCACTTGGATGCTTGAGCGCAGAACTGAGAAAGTCATGGTCAGCGCGCAAGAAAGATACACGATTCAACGGATTTCCAGAAAAGTAATTGGCGGTGTTGGTCTTGGGCCAGAAGATCGAGTCGAGCGAGTAGTTGGCGGCTGGTAGAAGCTTTGATGGTGCCATTTGAGCTTGTAGCTTTTTCAGCTGAGGGCAGTAGATGGCAAAGTGATAATATGATCTCCATTTCAATTTATTTGTTATAGATATTCCTGGGATGATCCATATGATAGCCGCACGTGGGCAGGGACTGAATGAAAGGATTAGTGGTGCCTCGCCTGACTCTGGATTTGCTCGGCGAGCGTTCACAGTGCTATGAAGATACCGGCCAGTTGACTGAGCTTTCAGTGACCCATAAAATGCTTCCAGCTATCTGTCATCACTTTGTTGATCATTTATATTTGTCTGGGCCATTTTGTGGAGGTCTCGGGGAAATCTGGCCCATCTTTCAACAGTGATGGATAACGCTTAACCTAATGCGTGACACAATCTCCACTTTAGAGGTCATGCGTGCTACCCGGCATTGTGGTGCATTCACGCAACTAGGGAGGATACTTGGAATTAAGGCCGCAGTCATCCTCGCGAGACGGGATAGAGTAACTGGTAGTCAGCCAAACTAACAACAAAAGAAAAATTTCCAGAAGCAGGAGCTGCGCAGTTAGGTAGCCATAGTCGTCGCACCCGGAATATGCATTTCATGAGATGTTGTGTCAGAGCCCCAGCAAAAGTTGGAAACGAAAATGATACTGGAATCCATTATTAATACCGATAGCTAGCAGTAGATACCGTTGGGAGACCCGTTTTAGCAGCTCCGAAACATTTGGGTCGGTGCCGCGTGTGGCCATCTAAGTAGATGTGGCTTTGAGAGGCCGTGAGCTACATGCAGCGTTTATATGGGTCCAACTACTCAGTTGTGACGGAGGGTACAAACGATGTGCTTCACAGGAATCCACCTTGTATGGTCCTGATTAGTCATCTGACGCACTAGACTGCTACATTGGCTATACTGTTCATAAGAGAAGCGAGCCTTTCCAATATTGGAACAAGACCGCATTCTGCGAAATCAGAGCTGTTCTCGTCTCCACTAAAGTTGCCCCACCCTCCCAACAACTCTGATCTGCCCTGTCGATCGCTAAAATCCAAGTAGGGCCTACCAGAAATTCATCCGAACCGTTCTTTTGCATCAGATATTAATTGCGTATGCAGCTTTCCATCATTTAGATCGTAAGAGACGCATAAGAAAGGTTCAATCGTGGTGCACTTAATCAAATGGTAATCCAGACATTAAAGGGGAAGGTGCATAGTTGAATCATGCTGACGCTCATTGACTTGTCATTACCTGGAGTTCAACAAATAAATTATTCAATTTACCTGATTTGGCGCCTTGAGGCCCATGCAGGTTTTAATCGAAGGATATGTACCTTATGTAGGATGACTCAATCTGACCTTTGGGACACTCAGATTTGATTTGCAGATACCACTAGAGGTTAACTTTTACGGCGTCCAACCTCATCCATGCATTCCCACTACAGGGAAAAGCGTGAAAACCCTATGTTTGTCCGAGTATGCTTTCATCGTCCCACACATACAATATCACCGCGAGAGAGTGTGGTGTGTGGGTTTAATGTGCTACTTGAGTCTATAACTACCTAGCGCATTGGGCTCCTATCTGACCCAGCCAAACCTTGTGCAATGCTTCTTGCCTCTATGATCCTTGAAAGATCATTAATATGTTGCCCATGATTAATGGCCATTCAGCTCAGTATTTATACGTGGAATTCAGCCACCTTTTCCGCTGAACCTTCTACCTATAAAAAATTAAAAATGGTAGCAATGGAAACTGCGTGCGCGGGAAAAAGTCTCAAAATACCTGCAGCCCCAGCCAGGCGAGGCCTAGACACCAGGACCACATGAGGTGCACCTATTCATCTGTATCTCCCTTCTTTGTAACACTCGAGGCCGACTTGATCCAATCAACTATCGCGGTATCGGGTGCTAGGTACGCTCCGGAAACTCATCAGATGGCTTTTCCTCCATGATAAGACATGCAGTTCCTCTCTGTCTACAGGCCAAGGATACTTATGCCAGTAGTATATCCCCTCCTATGACTCCCATACAGCCCCCTTCAAACGGTAACACCCCTCAATAGTCCTCATTCAATCATACACTCACAGGAGCACTTTGCCCTTCATTATATCCCTTCTCTAGCTAACTAAAAGATGACTATTTGCGGGTGTTTGGCAGCCGGGAAAATCCCAAAAACCACTGGATGCGGGGCTCTTCTGATACCGACATAAAGATTAAATCCGAAGACATAGAGACCCGTCTGAAGCCTTCGAAAAGGCCGGCCAGCTGGGCGCTGCAGACTTACAGGTACATCGGGAAATTCACACTCCGCCTTTCTAGCCCTCATCCAACTCTTTCCAAAGGGTCGTGCTGAAATGTCAGAAAAGTCTTGACACAGCATGATTGCAGTATAGTAGCTTAGCCCAACTTCTTCTATGCCGTCCAGGGCGCTGGGGAGTGCCGTTGACTCATCGACAAAAGAAGCCCTCCTGGCTAATTTGCCGAAACCGTGATCATGACGCTCACAAATGTTCCAAATTTGAAAACCCCTCGAAAATATCGGTCCCAACATGGTCTTCAGAGACCTCTTCCCCATCTCGCTCCTTATCCAGCCGCCTGCTCTTCCTCAAGATGTTTGTCCCATCAGAGAAACAGTCCATTTCCATTATAAATATATACGTTAATGACACTTGATAAAGAATTTTTCATTATCTACACTAACTGCAATCGCAGCCACATCATAATCGTCAAACAGACCATATTCATTATATGTCTCCATATCTAGACAACTAGAGTCCAATAGTCATGAGCCAGGAGTTTCCAACTACATTAAGATATCTTTAAAAACACTATTCTTCAATATGGGTTCCTCGTTCCTATTAAAAAAATGCTGGAGGATCTGAGAAATGGTGCCGTGCTATCACTGAACGCGCAAAAATGCTTTTGACCGATGATTTGTTCGAAACAGAAAACGACACATTATGAGATCCGAGCGACGATATTCAAAGACCAGAGTGTTTAAGAGACGATGCAAACACACAAAAAATTGCATTGTGGGATGCCAGAGAGCGTCAGTTATTGTTGATACATAATTGCATGCAACAACTACTCGAGTACATGGTCGAAACATTGGAACCGACACTTTATCAACGTATTATCACAACAACTATGTTTATAAGACGAACTCTCACCTTGCTATATAGAGCAGTCAAAAGAACGCTTAAAGTCCTCAAAATCTGCGGAAATGGAATTGCAGACAAATCTGGCAAAGCTAGAACACTCGGCAAAAATAACTGATATTGATATCTGGCTAAGCAGCTGGATTAAAATCGAAAGTATTGCAAAAGCTAGTAACTATACTTGGGCCAGCCAAATTATATATCATTTTCATGCCGCAGCAGGATGTCGATCAGTATTTTCTGCAAGAACTTTTGCAGCACATATTTGGATTGTAGCAATAACCCTCCCCCAATGGCCCGAACAGTGTAGACTGTGCGACGCAAAATCTAAAGGTTTCCAGCTTACAGACGCACAAGAGCTACAAGGCATTTTTACTCCTCCTATTTTCCTGGCTGCAGTAAGCCACGACACAAATAAATCTGGTTCTAAACATGAAGACAAAATCACTGAAATGAAAAATATGAAATGTGTATGCGGATTTAAAAATCATAAACTAGCTCAATGCCGTATCTTAAATATTAATTCAAGACCTAAAACATGGGTTAATAGCCGTTTATTTTCTTCAAAAAAGCGTCTACGTAATATACTGACGGATATGAAAAAAAAGGAATTGGAAAGAAAACTCGCACATAAAATACCAAACGACCTACTTGAAATTCCTATCGAAAATACACCGTCTGCTGCAAATACTATAGGTGATAATACATTGCACGTAGATTACATTTCGGAATCTTCCACAACATATAATACCCTCTCACAACCATCTTATATGCTTGCGCTTGCACCGTCACAAACTTCGATGCCTTTAAAAATTGGTGGGTTTCTAATTCAGGATCAGGTAAACATATTTGTCATGAAAATAATATGTTCTGGACTTTAAAGCCAACAAATTTAGTTCAAGTTATAGTAACAGGAGCAGGAGAATGCCAAGTTCAAAGCGTTGGATCGGTGCTGCTAGAAATCAATACTCCAAAAGGTCCAGGAAAATTAAAATTTGAAGGATTTCTTTACGTCCCAGAATTCCTAGTGAATATTATATCAATGGACAGAATAAAAGATTAGAAGCTTATCTGGGATCATTCTAAGAACTGGTTTAACTACTGGGACGCAATTAGAACTCCTACGGTTAAAATTTGGAATCAATTCAATCAGAATTTCATATCAAAACAAGCAGTACGTCCGGATCAAACCAAATTTATTATAGACATTCCAGAAACAATCTCGATAGATCTAGTTCTTTCAGAAGCAGTATGCGCAAAATAATGTTCGCTGTACGAAAGGTTTCCTCTGCAGATGTGGTTATTTGGCATCGTCATTTTGGGCATCCAGAACCAAACACTGTTCAAAAACTAAATCTTGCGGTAGTTAGCGTAAAAAAGACAGGATCATTCGAAGGTCTGTGCTAAGGATGTTTATTGACTAAGTCAAAACGTATAATATCGAGAATACCTGCCGACAAAGGAAATTTTCTCTGGGAACGAATGCATGTTGATCTAATAGTATTTCTTCAATCATGGAATGGCGAAAATTACGCTATTCATGCATATGATGCTAAGGGAAGTGGCAATACAAACGATACTATTGCCTGAAAGGACCAAATTACTCTTTGTCTATCCATTAGTCATATGTTGCTGAATCAAATAAAGAGAATCGAATTATGAAATACTTTCACAGTGACAGTGATAGGGGGTTTGGATCATGATTCAAGCTATTGAAGGGTGGTAATGTATATCGTCGTATACACTTGGTATCTTCAATTTAAATGGTTGTGACTACTCAGGGGGCTTAGAATATACTTGGGTGATTATGGCAATAAATGTTACGGGATGCGAATGGTATCTTATTGTGTTATTATTATTATGTTATGTTACAGGTTATCT